ACGACCAGACCATCGCTCCTCATGTCGCCAAGGCGTCCGCTGCCGTAGGGCCGTACTACGACATTGCGCGCACCAACGCCCTACAGACCTACCACGATGTCCTTCTCCCCTCGTACAAGTTCGTCGAGCCGTACGCCGCCCAGGGTTACGATGTGGCGTCCCAGTTCACCACCGAGACCGCAATCCCCACTGCCTACTGGGCATGGAACAAGACCTATCTTTTCCTCGACGCCACCGTTTGGCCCCAGGTCCGCGTGCTGTACGTTGAGAACGTCGAGCCCCAGCTGGCTAGGATCGGACAGCGTCTTGGTCGCTATAAGAACAAGACCAAGGGGTCGCTCGAGAATGTCTCTGAGAGGTAAGAATCGGAAGCACACAGAAATATGCGCCGGAAGATGCTGACCAACTACCAGTGCCACCGCCCAGGCTTCCTCTTTCACGAAGCCCATCTCTTCCGCCTCGTCATCCGCGTCCTCGGCATCCTCGGTTGCCAGTCAGAAGATCTCCACCAAGGTCGAGAGCACGCCTATCCCTGATGCATCCCAAGTAGCAGAGGAAGTTGTGAAGGCTGCCGAAGACAAGGCCCAGCAGGTTGTTGCACCCCCCGCTTCTGAGGACGAGTCCGACATCCGCAAGACCGCCCGCGAGACCGTTGAGGAGGACCTCCGCAGCTGGCAGGACAAGTTCGCCAAGGCCGCCGATGAGGGCGCCAGAGAACTCGAAGACCAGGTTGAGGCGATTTCCCAGCGTGCCATCAAGGACAACGCGCATATCAAGGGCAAGGCACTTGTCACTGAGCTACAGGAGACCGCAAAGGCCGAGGTTGCTACTCTGCAAAAGCAAATTATCAAGATCGTCCACAAGTCCGTTGACGCGCCTGTAGCGGCCCAAGACGACCTGGCTGTCGCCGTACGAAAGGCCGGGCTTGCTATCAAGGAGAAGGCCCAAAAGATCCGCTCGTGGAAGGACGATTACGAGGCTGAGATCGAGGCCGCTGTCACCGAAGCCGCCGACAGCCATTTCAAGATTCTCGACAGCATTAGAGATCTGGCACTCCAGAAGATTGGAATGAAGTGGGCGTGGATGGACGGCATCACCTACAAGGACTGGGCCAAGTTTCACGAGTTGAAGGACCGCTTTGCCGACTGGATGAGTGACTTGAAGAAGCTGATCATCTCTCACCCTGGCCTTGAGGAAGCTCGTGAGGCATCCAATGAGGTTGAAGACTCTGGCATGGCGGTCGCTCAGTCTGCCGCCCAGGAACTTGCTAGGCTGAAGCAGGTCGGTCTCTGGAAGCTCGCCGCTCGTGACACGTCCGACAACTTCGACAGCGAGTCCACCCGTCTTGCTGCCGAGGAGGCTGAGCGCCGTGCTGGAGAAGCTGCCGCTGCCGCATCTTCTGCTACGTCGGCCCCTGAAGAGGACCCCCTCGAGTCTGCCGCCAGTGTGATTGAGGACGAATCCCCCGCCAGTGACCTCGGCTCCGGCGGTGCGGCCAGCTCCGTCAGCAGTGCCGCCAGCGAAGTCAGCGAGAGTATTAGCAGTGCTACGTCTGCCGCATCTGAGTCTATCAGCAGCGCTGCCAGCCAGGTCTCCAGCGAGGCATCCAGTGTCGTAGCCTCCAGCTCATCCAGCACCGAGTCTCACCCCGATCTTGCTTCCACTGTGCTCCCGGGCGAGGACCAAACCATCATTGTTGACGGCTCCGGTATGTCGCCTGCTGGCGACGAAGACGAGGCAGTTCCGGGCAAGAAGCTCGAGGAGGAGATTATCCCCGAGTCTGTCGAGGACAAGCCCGTCACCGCCGAGACCGAATCAGTCAAGCCTGCTTTCCTCGGTGCCATGGCCCAGTCTGTTTCCAGCAAGGGCCCCATCCTGGATGAGGATGTGGATGCTGAGAGCATCTCTTCTCGGGCTCAGGAGGCCTACTCCAACGCCGTCTCTCAGGCTTCTGAGCAGTACTCCTCCGCCAAGGCCGCTGTATCCGCCAAGATCTATGGCACTCCCAGGCCTGCACAAGAGAAGGTCCTTTCCTCGGCCTCTGGTGTTTACGCTGCTGCCATGGCATCTGCCAGCTCTCGCTTTGATGAGGCCGTCAAGGCCGCGTCCAAGGGTATCTACGGAACTCCTACCGCCAAGGTCACTCCTTCGTACGACTGGGCTAGCGTTGAGGCCCTTGCCTCTCAGCGCCTGAACGAGGGACGCCTTTGGGCTGAGCAACAGTACGAGAGTGCCAAGATTGCGCTCGGCCTTGCTACCGCGACCCCCACCTCCACTGTCGAGAAACTCCTTGAGCAAGCCAAGTACAACTACTACGCCGGCCTCGGCGTTGCGCATGCTCGATACTCCGAGTTCTTGGCCGCGGCCGGGTCTGCTCTAAGCCACGCCACTCCTACTGGTACACCTACCGATGTTGCCGGCACTGCCTCGTCTGTCGCATCCGTTGCTACTCGCTCGGCCGACGCTGTTGCATCTGGCGCCCAGAAGGAAGCCATCGCCGTGGCCTCAGCTGTCAGCGACGGGTTTGGAGCTGCGGCGTCCATCGTCAGTGACTCTGTTTCTGCAGGCATCCAGGAAGTCGTGGATGCTGCGCAGGCGATTGAAAAGGGCGTCACGGATTCCTGGGAAGCCGTCGTCAGCCAAGTCAGCATCCAGATCTACGGCAAGCCCACGCCGACTGCCTGGTACGACAACGTCTACAGCGGTGCCGGAGAGTACGCCGCTCAGGCCACTGCCGCAGTTGCTAAGCAATACGAGGACGTCAACAAGCTCATCTCTGAGTTGCTCGTCGGCAAGGAGCCCACCTTTTCGGAGAGCGTTCTCGCGCGCTTGCAAGCTGCGTACGCCACCCAGGCTGCCCAGGCTGCTAGTTTCGCCAGCGCGGCCTCTGCTACTCTTTCCTCTGCCGCTTCAGCTGTTACGGATGCCGTCAAGGAGACCGTTCAGCACGTCCGTGATGAGTTGTAAAGCCTCAGCTCACCCCACTACGAAAAACACGATTGCATGAGTAATAGCACACGAAGTACTTGCTGCAGGTCCTCACGGTCGGCAGCGTCACACTCTTTTATGTACCAGATACCCTCGCGCCTCAAAGCATCGGGGCCGACAAGTCTTGATTTCTATTTCCACCTGCTCGCCAGGTTCACAGTCTAGTCCCAGTAGAAGCCGTCAAGATTGTTTCTTCCAGCCCGATAATACCGAGTCGATGAGCAACCGAGTCCTTATTTGTTAGCGTGTCTACAGCAGGGGAGGAAAGCAGGGCAGCGCTGGTGAGTTCTGAGGGCATCGAGGTGGCGTTATGTTGGGAAATAGTCATGTCTCTTTGGGAATACAGTGATCGGCTGGCCCAGTTCTGTTCGAGTTTTTTTTCCGCTTTCTGTATGGTTATGTGTTATGTCTGTACATGTACAGGATGGGTCAAGCAAAATATTTTAGTTTTCGCACTCGGACTGGGATGAAGTGAGTGCTATGTGAGGTGTTTCGTGATATGCTTCGAGTAGTAACAGCCAGGTGTCGCGTGCGGACTTGAGGTGCTTCCGCTAGTTTGGATTCTGATATGCCCAGCAGTAAGTTCGATTTTAACCAGGCAGGCCACCCACATTTGCCTCTCTGATTCTCGTCACCTTTTTTCAGACTGCCTATTCTTCCTGTGCTAGAGCGACTATGTTTCTGTGACTATACTCTACCTTACCGCCGTCGTCGCAGTCGTTATCGTGATCATCGTTATCGTCTTCGTCGTCGTCGTCACTGCTGCTATTATCGTCCTCGATAGGGGTAATTAAGTGCACAGGAAATATAGCGCGCAGAAACAGGAAATTAAGGCCGTTTAATTAAGGGATATAGATATGCTTACTTAGGTGGTGATATCTGCGTTAACTTTGTTGATTGACTTGTTCTGATGATTAAGTACTTGCACTTGCGGCAGCGGTGCTTAGCTAGCAGCACGCGCGCCGCCGTTGTCCGATGCGATGCCTCATTTTGGGGGGTTCTCGACTTGGCAAGGCGTTCTGGAAGTTCGTAGGCGAACAGAGAGACTCCGTTTACACGATTGGTACGGGAAAGAATCGCTTTTGCATATGCATGTAGGCTGTGCTACCCACCGCTAAGCCCCGTGAACACGTTCGCGAACGCTACTCGTCAGCCTGATCTTGACTGGAGCCAGTCTTACGGATACATTTTCACCGTCTGGCATCCGCGCCCATTTTCTAATAACCCTTCTTTCTCCCCTCGAGTTGCATGTGTCTTGCATGTTTTTCACATAGGAATCGGCCACAAAAGTGGTTGAGGCAGCAGCTTCCTAAATTATTCAGCTCTCTATCGCGACGCGATATTGTATCCGCGGCCTTTTCTGATAAGCCCTTCTTTCTCCCCCCAATTTGAATGTTCCTCACACTTTTCTTACACGGGACTCAATCACCGGCCCTGCGAACGGCCGCAAAGAAGCAATGGCGGAAGTTCTGGGGACAGTCGTGGGCGTGGTCTCTCTGGGACTGCAGGTATGTTCAGGTCTCAACGTCTACATCGACGGCCTTCAATGCGGCAGAGAAGAGATAGAATCCACCATACGTCATCAGAAATCATTGGAAACACTCATCGCGCAGATCGAAGCACTCCACAACCGGCGTCAGGCGCCTGGCATCTGCTCTGCACCGCTTCAGGAATCCATGGCATCAGCTAAAGCCGAGTTGCTACTGTTGGACGAATTCATCAACAAGGTTCGCATCGAAGACGTGACTGGCACCGACAGATCCGCTGGGAACATGATGAAGATTCAGAAGAAGAAGCTGCTGTATCCCTTTCGCAGGGATCGCTTGGATCGACTCGTCACTAGGCTCGACGTCGTCATCAAGGCCCTTCAGACAGCACTTCAAGTATTTGAACTGTAAGCATTGTATGATGGATCCAATGACGAAGTACTCACTTGGCTTAGCGAGGCATCACTCGAGATAAAGAACTCCTTCAATCAAGTTCTCCAGACGGTGTCAAGATCCGAGGTTACCATGCTCTCAATCGAGAGAAAGATTGATGAAAACGCCTCACTGGCTCGTCTGCCCGATTATGCGACCAAGCAAGACGTAATGGAGTTAAAGACGTTGATGGCTGATCTGATGTCCTCAAACGCCACGGGCACATTGAGAAACATGGTGTCGAAGCCGAGTGCACTTAAAGCCATCTGCGACAACATGAGCAACCTAGAAACGATGAGCCGAACGGACGGATCCTCTCTGGCATTGTCGGGAACTGTCGCAACTGAGCCTGCCTGCCAAGAGACGGTGATACGGTCGCAGTTCCACTGCACTTGCAAACCGCGGCGTATCCTACGCCGACACAAGCGATCAGTCGGACCTGTTTCTTTTGCAAGAGAGGCAGTCACGAAAAGGGTCCATGTCATTGGATGTCCTTTCGCTGTCTTCGACACACAGAGAACCAACAGCTGGTCTGCTGGTATCACGCTCAGAGCGTTTCGAGGACTGGTTGCAGCAGCTGTCGACGTTTCGATATCAATCACTACCGGGGCCGGTGGATTTGGGATGTCTCCTTCATTTACGTATTTTCCTGTGCGTGAAAGCAGCCCCGCGTTCGAGGCTGTGAAAGTTTTGTTGGACGCTCTTCACCCAAGCTTTAAATTGACTAATGAAGAGCATACCAAAATTTTTGAGCGAGGTATTCACACACTGAGGACGTTTTTCACGTCTAGGGCCTCCTCGCCGTTGGAAACTGATACAAATGGCAACACGTTGCTACATGCGGCATCCACGTTCTACAGGGGAGATTGGACAAATCACCGGCACGAACTTATCGAATTCCTTCTCGCAACAGGCGTTCCGCGGGACCGTCCAAACCAAAGCGATCAGTGAGTTCCAAGCTTACACCCGGTTGAGATGTTTCCTGTTCATTGTGTTCATAATCATGGATCCAGATATGCATTTCAGACTGCACAAACAGGTTGGTACCGTGACCGTCAGGGTGATCTACGAGAGGTCCAAACACTCGACGCTCTCCGGCCTCACGACGGTACCTTTAACTCCGAATTGGCGTGGCCTCAGATACCGGTTAGCGGCCTCCTTCAATTTGAAGTCATGAGATTTCATCAAACGTGGACCACGAATTCTATCACTGCGACTCAAGGTTAGAAACCACCCCACAGAACTATTACAGAACTAGTGCTAATATTTCATAGTATACTGTGGCCATCCTCTAGAAGCTATACTATTCCGTAATAAGTCAAGGTTGCTAGAAGCTTTAGACAAGCAAGTATCTCTGAACTTGTCCGAAGCCGACGCATTCGGCTTTTCATCTTTGTACCATCTCATTGGATGGCCTGAAGGCTTGAAGATAGTTCTGAGTCGATATGGCAAGTCTATTCTACAGTCCCACGACACGGGTATCATAGCCTCCGCTCTCGAATGCGCTCTTCAGTGGAGCAGCGCTATCTGCAGCGGCTCAAGGGATGTCAGGTGCTTGGAAACGTGTACCTGTGGAGAGCTAGTGAGCATTCTTTTGCAAACTGACAGCGAGTGTTTGGCGAGGACAACCCGAAGAAAAGGATGGAATTACGCATTAAGATTTGCATCTATCAGAGCACGAGAGATGTTCATCGATGAGCTAGCAGGCCGGCGACAGGAGCTGAAAGCACTAGGCCTGCGTCATTTGAAGCCGACAGAAATTGACTGCTTCGGTCTTCTGGGAAACAACGTTCTTGATAGACACACAGGTGACGTTTTGAAGGCGCTTGACGACAAAGGGATAAGTGTACATCCAAGTCTGCGCACAGAGGTGGTTGGCGACGAATCATGCGCCTCCGGATCCATATATCATCACGGTGGAATTGGTTTCGGCATGGCATTTGGGGTACCGAACGCGCTCTATTGTCGAGGTTTCACGGAAATCGACGTTCCAAATGCACATGGCTTGGTTCCTTTAGCTCTTCGAAACCCCCCAGAATATAGAGAATGGCTGGTGGAACATGGCGCAAACTTGACGACCAAAATACCCGGTAGACCTGTCGGGTTTACTACAGCGCATATGTTGTTTTGGCCCAGGTCCGACATTTATTTATCATCTTCATCTCTCAGCTACGAATCCGGCTTGTTCAAAATAATTGGAAGCCACATTCCCAAGTCTGCGTCTCTGGATGCATGCAGATGCGGTTGTTCAAAAGACGGCTGCCACCCATACGCAGTGATGTGGAGGGTGGTGCTGAGAGACTGGTCAGTTGACCAAATAACGCAAGCGTCACTGAAACAGACGGGAGACATAATCATCGGGCTATGCGAAAATCTCGAAACAGACTGGACACTTTCGCGAGACGAAATATCAATTCTTCTGAGAGTGTGCACTTTCATGGCCCTTCCGATCCGCCACACTTGCTGTTGCTTCTTTGAGAACAAAATCTATTTCAAGTGGGAATACGGAATTGGCGAAGAAGACGAGATGGAAGAGATTCAGGAAGAGGATGCTAATGAGCTTGCGCTCCTCGAGGATTTACTTGTTGAGTTCGAAAGCAAGATCGATGAGATGGATTGTACCCTGGCGACGTTCTTTGAAACATATTGGATCGAACGAATGGGGCAGGTTCTTCAAGAAATCCGAGAACGACCACTTCTTGAAGAGGAGGTCCAAGGCGCCGAAAGACTGGGCATAACATTAAGAGTTGAACCAGAGAACAGGCTGGGGGGTCTCAGTCAGCTAGAATACTGGTTTCGCAGGCTGGATGCTGTGGAAGTTCCGGACCCCCTTTTTCCGACACCAGCACCACCAGCACCACCGGGTTATTACTAAGGTTTCCTGAAATGCGGCGGAAGTCTTCACTCTATGATTTCCCGCACCTTGTCTCTTCTTACGTGCTTCAATTCATGCCTTCACAACCTAGTCACCTCGAGGCCGGCAGAAGTCCTAACACGGAGGCTTATCCCGTCTCCTGCCATGCCATCTTGCCAGGAGACAGAGATGTGGAGTCCAGATTCGGACAAGAGGGCATCGGCCCGAAACCTCACTACAGCGGCCTGTATCCGCAGATACGACCTGTATCTTTTCGGCTGGGTTCGGTGATTAATCCACCGGTAGATACAAGAGGTCCGTTTGTTGTCGGCCGCCTAGTCTGTGGGGGGCTTCCCCGGGACACAGGCATCGAATACGATCGCCTTGTTCGAACCCGACGATGGTAGGAGGATGTTGCCAAGAAGGCGTCTACGGCAGTCACGAGCAGAGATGTGGCATGACCCCTTCCGCGGCAGTATTTCTGCTTTTGGTGTTACCACACGGTATGTTATAGGCTGTAATCACTGCCATCCCTGATCATCAGGGGAACGCGACAAAACCGCCAATCCATCCAAGGCAGCGAGTTTGTCAGCTTGGAACCCGCGAAGGCAGCGGCTCCTGGGACGGGATTAGAAGCGGGAGGATCTGGGAGGAAACTCCTCGTTGAGCATGTTGCAGGGGCGCATTGATTCGATGCTGTTGACGAAGCCATATTTTGCTTGCGCTGTCAACCATCGTGAGCTGGGGGCCATCATGATGGAGCTGCCGAACCGCAATGTCCGGCAATTGGATGGGTGACTCAGGGTGGTGCATGTGGGATGGCGAAGGGATTAATCATTGTAAATGTGGCTTTCTTGCAGAGCATGATGTGATTTGGACTTCTGACATTCATCTCGTCTGATGGGGGGCCACAAGGAGCAGATTGATTCGTCTGCTCGCATCACGACTCGTAGAGGTGGCTACCGTCTCTGGAGGTCGAGCAGGCAGCAAAATTACTGCGAGACCCGGATGATGTCTTTCCTGCGAGGAGTGCCACGATGGAGAGGGAAAAGGGGTGGATTTTGACTCAGATTGCTGACGTGCTCACCGTCAGATGCCTCTATTCAGAGTCAAGGTCACCCAAAGTTCTTTTCATAAGTAGAAGCTGGCTGCAACGTTCGGCGCCCCATTATTGAAGGGATTACTTCAAACGGCAGTACGACAGAGATCTCTCCATCGTCAGGGGTTATTATCAAGAGAACTTGGCAATCTTGAGACCAAATTGCGCTATCCACAGTCGATTTGTCCCGGGTGACAGAGAGGGACGTCTCTGGGCAAGTGAGCTTTTGCGAATAAGTACCGGGAACCACTTTGACAGACTGAACCTTGCTTTGAAGCATGTCATGTCCATGGGGCTCTTTTCCTGAATGGAAAAACGAAGGCTGCCGGGAGCCGCGGTATGGTGGTGTAGGTGTGTCGGAGACGAAGCGGGTGGCTCCAGTCTGTGAGGTTTAGTGTTTAGGCACCGAGATAAAAAAGGACGCCAGTGAAGGTAGGCGTGGGGTGGTTACTAGGAGCACGACGCCATGTGGTCGTGCCCAAAGTGCCACAATAACTGGAGCTTTCTGCGACAGAGTCCGAGGGGACCACAGCTGTGGCTGCCTTTTGTTTTGGACTTTGTGTGGTGGCCGTAAGGGGAACTCCAAAGTCCCAAATGCAAAAGATCTGAAAGGATGGATTACCATTAATAGAGGGCAAAGAGCGGAGACGGACTGGGGAATTCGAGTCGAATGGTGCTTACTGCATCATGGCGTAGGGGGAGGATTTGCGCTGGGGGTGTTTTGGAAAAGGAACTTTGGAGTATTGTGGGATCTATGCCAAGATCTGGAGGAAGTTGCCAGTGTGGGCGGCCCGCAGACAGGCGGAACAGAGGCGGAAAGTGATGCCATTGACCGGCGCGGACATGGTCTCCGTGATTATGGATGTATGCACCGTACTTTGAAGCGAGTGGACGGTCCGCTGTTGCTATGCCGAATGGGATGGAGTCTCAGCCAGGGTATCGACGCTAGAGAGAGCCTCAGCTTACTCAGGGACGATTACTGCTGGAAGCCAATGTCGGGCACCGCGAATGTGGGTATCTGGGGGTTCACGAAGATGGGCGTGCTGATCTCGTATCAGACACGACGATGGTGGATGATGCTGATACAAGAGAGAGTGCTAATTGGGCAAATCTGAGGATGCATAATATCACGAGAATGGAGAAAATGAGCCGAACTGATGGCGTCGTGTAGATGTAAATCTGGATAGCTGAGCGGCATTCATGATTTGGCTGCCCAGACGGTGGCTGTTGGCTAGCCGGGATAGAAGGAGGCATCAAGTAAGGCACGTGAGGGATGCAGGGTCTACCTGCCTACCTAAGTAGGTATCCGTATCTGTATCCATAATGGAAAGAAAGAGCCTGCTGGAGGCGATAATGACCAAGACGAATTCAGCAAGACCAGGTTCACTTTTGATGAGAAACGAGGCAAGAGACGCTCCTCAGTGCCTGCTAACAACACGATGAGTGAGGTCTCCAAAGACTCCAAAGGGAAGGCACTGGCCACGGGCAACCCGGGCGAACATGGCAACATCCCAGAGTGGTTGACCCGAGAGACCCACCCTCCAGGCTCCAGAATTACCACAAGCCAATCAGCACCTTGTTTTAGAGCTAGCGGCAGGGAATATGCGGGTCGGGACCGAAACCAGAGCATTTGGCGAGGCTAAGCGAGTCCAATCGAGAGGCGTCCCTCCCCAGACAGCGGCTTTCACAGGAGGTCCTCCAGGCAGCAGCATTTCACTGCACCTCGAGACTCGGATTGACACTCGCTCAACACCTCGCTCGCTCGCATTCTGCGGACACCATCGAAGCCACAATCTGCCACTTGGGCCGCCCGGTCTTCCTTCTCGTCCCTGTCGGTGCATTCTGGCGGCGGAGCCATCTCTAGTCCTTACCCTGTACTCCCTAGGTGGTGTACTAGTGTACCGTACTGGAGCACCCAAGTCAGTCACTCCCTGGCCCTTGGATCTTGGACCTGCAACCTGCGGCTCTTAGCCCGCGTGGGAAAAGGGTAAAAGACCATCCGTCTCGTAGGCACCGAAATAATCTGATTCCTTCTTAGCTACCCGCTGCGACGGCACCCGAAGACCTGGAGACGCCTGGTGCCTGCCTTCCTTGTTGGCTCCCGTCATTCATCACCTCCTAGGGTCCCGCGACTTCAACTTCGACACCACCACCACCTCTTCTTCATTTCTCTTCTCTCCCATCCTCCATTGACTTGGACCATTTTCTATTTACGACGGACTTGACGAGACGAAAAAGAGCTTCAATAAGATAATTCCAATAATCACTTTACACACGCGCCGGTTATTTTAGGTCGTTGCAATAGTCGCAGCTCAGCCTCACCCGAATCGCATCCCCGCCGCGTAATCACTTTACGCGCAAAATACGTACCCCCAGGTCGCAGCAGCAGCAACTCAGTCACAGTTGCAGTCACACTCTCAGTCGCCAACCAACAAAAGTAACCCCGCCGCGCGCGACTCAGTCGACCCGCATCCGACTCTTCACACCGTCCCGATCCCCGACTTCGACGTCTCATCATCACCAAGGCCACTTCAGCCTCACCATCAATTGTGGCATCGATTTGATTATGTCATATTCGAGGCGGCACTGAAGAGGCATATTCATCTCATCTAGCAGACTCTCACATCACTCACTCACTCACCCCTCATCGACGCAAGTCTCTCACCCCGCCCCACGTGAGGGGCATCCCTCTTTGCTGCCCGTCATCCCGTTTCAACCGCCATCATGGAGGGCATCGGTTTCCAGGGCGGCTTCCAGCAGCCCATGCAGCGGCGCCTCAGCCGTCTGTATAACGACACCAAAAAGTCATCCGACTTCGTGAAGGAGCCCATCCAGCATGCCGAGGATCCCGAGGTCAAGATCCTCTTCCGCAGGCTGCGCATCCAAAAAGACCGCTTCGTGAGCTGGGGCTTGGAATGGTCAGATCCGAACCAGTCTTCCGAGATCGACACGTCGCTTTCAAAGGCTGGCATCAGCGAGATCGTCCACAGTGTCATGTCCACTGTCGGCGAGAGCTTGGCCGAGCTGGATGCTTTGTGGAAGGCCTACAACAAGCAGACAGGCGGTGCTTCTGAAAAGTCAAGGGGTGATTTCAAGACCCCCTTTGTAGTCTGGGACAAGGCTCGCTTTGCCGAGTCCATCACAGAACTCACTCAGTCCATCGACACTCTGTGCGATCTTTCTAGAACCCGCGCCTCTGCGGTAATGACTTCAGGCTCTCGCTCAAGGCTCCAACGGCCTCTGGCCGCCATCGATGAGAACAAGCAATTCGAGTCGACACGCATCCAGACACCGCAGCAGATTGACCCCTCGACATTGCAGGATATCCGCTCTTCACAGGCTGAGCCGATGACCGAGTCCAGAGCGAATCAACCACCGAGAGATATCGTCTTCATGACCAAGCAAGCCTGGTCAGATCTGGCCCAGCACATTGGCCGTCAGCCATTCGCGCCATTGCTACTGGAGTACGCCGCCTTCGACTCCATTTACTCAGTCACGGGAATCATGCCTCCAATGTCGCGGTTCGAGAAGTTGTCATCCGGCTTGCAGCAGGAATCCCAGAGAGCACCTGGCGCCTGGATTGGTCTGCCGAGGCTGCTTGGTTACTTTGAGGACTTGGAGCACTCACGGCTTGGACTCGTCTACCACTTCCCCCCGAGCTTCAATGCCGTCTCGTTCGAAAACTTCACACAGACACCCCTTTACAACATTTGCACGCTGGGCGATCTTCTCTCACGCCCTGGATTTGAGCCCACATTGGAGGCCAAGTTCCGCCTCGCTCACAACCTAGCGAACACCGTTTTCGATTTACACGCCCGCGGCATCACCCACGGCAGCCTTATTGACAAGAATGTCTCCTTTTGCAACACGGCAACGCCCGACTTGACGACAGGCGTTGGCGAGGTGGATGTACGCCGTCCCATGATCTCGTCTTTTGATCTATTCCCCGATGCGCCCCCGGATCAAGAGCCATCATCACCATCTGCTCCTCTTTTCCGTCATCCTCTCGACCCTAGAACGACTCCCGCATCCCCGATCAATGACAAGACCGACTCCCGTATTCTCGACCTGTACTCTCTCGCCATGATCTTGTTGTCGATCGGTTTGTGGACGAAGCTTGAAAACCTCGTACCCGACCCATCTCAACCAATTCCAGAGAGAGTCTTGGAGCAGCTTGCCATTCGCTGTGGAACTCAGTACATGAAGGCCGTCCAGACCTGCTGGGGTGCAGTTGACCAGGAACTCCAAGGAAAGGTCACTGGCGAGGAACTACTCTCCATCGTGCAGTTCAAGGCGAGCCGCTACCTTGAGGCATGCTGCATCCTCGATAGTGTCAGTGCTCTGGACGACCGTCTCAGCTTGGATCTCGGCGAAAAGATTGTGTCTCCTATCTCTGACTCCCCGAGACAAAGCATCTCCGGCCCATCCAAGGACACTAAGACCGTTCCCCCGCCAGCTGAGATGCGCCGTCCATCTGACGTCAAGACCCCGATTCCCGACCCGAGCCCCGCGCGCTCGTACCCATCAGCCGAGGAAGAGAAGCGCCAGCTCGCAAAGAGAGACGCTGAGGAGGCGGCCGCGGCACCGGCGCCCGCAGAGCTGCCGGCCGAATCCAAGCCTGCCAAGTCGCCCAAGACCCGACTGTACCCCCATATTCCCTTGCCAGCTGACGCCATCGAGAAGTGGAACACTATTGTGATGCCCCAGGTTAACCAGGCGTTGCGTCACTTCTACCGCAAGCATAGTGAGGAGTCAGTCGAAATCTCACTCGAGTCCATCGGATGCTCGCCTAAGGAGACGCAACCCACGGTTCTGGTCGTGTGTACTTCGGTGAGCAAGGTGAAGTCTATTCTCACCCGCAAACTTGGCCAGCTCTTTGATGGAAAGTCCGGATTCGGCTTGAAGGTGTCTAAAGGGCAGGTGCTGAGGTCGCGGAAGGAGTCGGACGAAGTGAAGCGAAGTGCCGCCAACGACGACGAGGAGGATGACGAGGTGAAAGCCGCCAACCCCGACTTTCAGGACCGTCCCACCAATGGCGCCAGCATTGGTGCCTGGGTCGGCGATCGACACCTCCCGCCCGTCAGCTTGGGTGGTCTCGTAGTTGTGGACGACAAGCCCTACGGAATGACAGTGCACCACATGCTGGATGATCCGGTGGAAATCGCAAAGCACGCCAAGGACCAGGACCCAACCCATCGAAGCATGGCGAGGCCTTCTGACGATGTTCGATTCGACTGGTACGGGGAGTCGTCCGCTGAAAGCAGCAGTGGCGAGGACTTTGCGTGCGAATTCTCTGACTCCGAGTCGGAAGCGTACTCAGAGACGGACGCCACGAGCGAGGCCTCGGACGAGGACGAAAGCGACGAGGAGGGGGAATTCGACCAGCCCGGCGACATCCCAGGCGTTGAGCCGGGCTGCGGCGACGGTTATGTCATTACGCAACCAGCTAGAGACGATGTCGACGACGATTTCTACGCCTCCGAGGAGACCGCAGACGAGGATCATCTCGACAGCTTTACGCTCGGGGAGGTCTACGCGTCCAGCGGTCTCCGGCGCAGGGAGCAAAACGGGCTCATTCATGAGATAGACTGGGCTCTATTCGAATTCAATGGCGACCGACAGCCTGACGAGAACACCATCCCGAGGATTAGAACGAAGCCGTCGTCACTGCTCACAGGGAAACGACCATCCCACGAAGCGCTCGACCTCCACCCCACAACGGTGGCGCCGACGTCGGCACTCCCCGGCATGGAGGTTCAGTGTATGGCGCGCACAAGCGGCCTCCAAACAGGCCTCATCCTGCCCGCCCTGACGAGCGTGAAGATCTCCGGCCGCATCACGCCGAGTCACACGTACCAGGTCAGCAGCGCGGCCTCCTCGACGCCCGCGGAGCTCTCTGGCGGCAGCAAGAAGCTCGCCTTGGGAGTGCCCGGAGACAGCGGTGCGTGGGTCGTCGAGCGCGCTCACGGGAGGGTGTGCGGACACGTGCTAGCGTGGAGCGGTCGGAAACGTGTCGCGTACATATGCCCCATGGACGTCCTCCTCCTCGACATTGCCGAGACGCTCGAGGCGCGGACGGTCGGTCTGCCGGGTGGCGAAGCTGTTGTGAAGCTCCGCGACGACGGGGAGGAAGAGGAGGAAGATTATGGCGGTGACACGGAGGAACCATCCTCGTCGCCTTTTTTAGACCCGAGGGATGATGATGACTTGGACGAAGTTGAGGACGATGACGATGACGCGCCGGTGTTGGTGAAGGCGCCTGGTGACAAGAAGGGCGGGAACAAAAAGCAAAAGGGGCAGCAGCAAGAGAAGGAGACGGAGCAGCATGAGGGCGAAAAGTATGCTTCGGATGACAGTCATGAACTTTCAAGACGGATGGAGTCTATGGGCATCGGACGGAGTCGGAGTCGCGTTGGAATCGGCATGTGTAGCTGACTTGCGGGGCGCGTCGTTTTTTGAATACCCCCTTTTGTTTCGATTAGTAGCTGGGTAGCATAGCATAATGAAGCACATGATGAGCCACCCTTTGCTGCATCGCGCGTGTATTCCGTGGTAACAAAACATGCCGGCTTGATTGAATTCGGAAACGGGAATATCTACCCCGCCGTCCTCACATGAAATCATCCTCCCAATCCTCAGAGCGATTCTGGTTACTCGATCCCTCCATATTCTCCTCCGAGAAGATATCGTCATACGCATGGTCCTTCTGCCACTTCTTCTCCTTCCTCTCCTGCATCACCCGCGCCTCCTCCTTCTTCCTAACCAGACTCGCCGCCTGGTCGCGCTTCCGCAGCTCCTTGAGCCGATCCTCGCGCTCCTGCTGCAGGTCGGGCTTCTTCTCGACCTTTGTCTTGTTGAGGCGGTTGACGACGGGGTTCTCGCGCTGCGCGACGAGGACGCGCTTCACCTTGCGCGGGTCCTTGAAGGAGACCTGCCCGACGGCCATGGAGCCGTCCTTCTTGAGGTTCGACCACGGCGTGTAGATGATGGTGATGTTGTCCTTCTTGTTGCCCTCGATGGAGTTGGCCTTGGTCAGCTGCGCGAGGTCGGTGAGGAGGGGCTCGGGGATGGCGTCCCAGGTCATGGCTGGGGTGGTGGACGGGTGGGGGTCCGGGAGGCGGAGGTAGATGTGTGCGGATGAGAGCTTGTCGACGTGGAACTGTGGTGGTGGTTAGATGAAGGTGAGAGGGAGGGGGGTGAGGTGTGGTGTGGGTTACCCTGATGGTGGTTAGTGAATGAGATGAGAGAGATGGGGGTGGGGGAGTTACCAGACGTCCTCCTCCCAGCCGTACTTGATCAGCTCCTCATCTATACGCACGCGACTCTCATCAGTCTTTGTTATCGGCGGTGGCGGTGTCGTGGACCAGTTCATGCCGCGAAAAGGGGGGACGGGCGTACTCTCAAACTTGTCCTTGCCGACGTAGATGAAGGCGGAGGGGTCGACGACCGTGGAGGTGAAGTAGTAGACCATCGTGGGCGGGCGCGACCGGACGGGAGGAGGAGAAAGGGGAGAGACAGAGACGGGCTTCGCTTCCTTGCGGCGGGCGGCGCTTGGCGGTGGTTGTGATGTTCGGTCTGTCACTGCGGGGATCTCGGTGGTCGTCGTGATGTGGTTTTTTTTTTTTCTGCGACGGGGAAATTTCGAGGTGGGGGTGGGGCGGAGGGATACCTTCTGGGTATCTGTCCAAGTGAAAATGGGCGGGAGACTTGGCGGCTTCTGTGGGGAGGGTGTTAGGGAGAAGGTACTGCCGGGGAAGCCTCAGCCCATGTGAGGCACGGTGAGACGGGAGGACTCAGTGAGGTTCGGTGTGAGTGCTGCCTGGAAAGATGACATCTCACTCAACTTGACGTATAATGAGAAGATTATTGAGTGTTTTCATTCAACACACATTCAAAGCTATATCTTCCCAGTTTGAATTTCACTTGTCTTATTTAAACAACCGCTACCGTCACTGTCAACTCACGGTCGCACTTGCAGCATCTGGACTACTGAGCACTGCCGAGCGGCACAGCATGCCATGCACAGCCAAACTCTACCCCATTGATTGTCACCACCAACGGAAAACACTAGCACGACCCAAAAATGTTTGTCGCTGCCTCAAAAAAACGTCGTGATGAAACTTCTCATCAGCGTGTTTCCTCTCATTCATCCTCAACCCGCCATCGAACGCCACCATCTCCCGCTCTACTCACCGCTCGCCTACATGAGACCCAGTTTCAGGCCCAGGAAGCAAGCCTTGTTGGCTAAGTGGTATAGCGCCTCACTAGTAATGAGGAGATCGGGTGTTCGATTCACCCACGAGGCATCTCGAGCATCTCTGTCGGCCGACGATTTCTTTTTGCATTTTTGTCTATTAAATATCTCTGCTTGCCTGTCTGGCTTGTGTGCGTCTATGATCTATTACCATTAAGTAGCTCTCGTTCAGAACTTGGGAGCGTCGTAAATATCGTCAGGATCTGCCAACATTGTTAGCTGTCGTCATCGATGCATTTAGAGCATGTGCGCTCACCTTTTCCATGGTCCTGGATGAACTCCCTCACCTCCCCCACCTTCGCCTCAATCTCCCCAATCGCACCGTCCAACTTCGCCTTCACCTCCTCATTCACCTCCGCGCCGCCCTTCAACGCCCGAATCGCGACGTCATACCGGCTCACGCAGTTCACAAGCATCATGTCAAACGGCGTCGTCGTACTGCCCTCCTCGCGGTACCCCTCAACCGTCATCCGATGCAAGCCAGGCCGCCCGAACAGCAAGCCCTGCAGTTCCGTCGGGTACCCGTGGTAGTTGAAGCACACGGCCCGGTCCTCGGTGAAGGTCTCCTGGAAGACCTGCCGCGTCAGCGCGTGCGGGTGCTTAGCCTCCGCCTTGAGGACCATCAGGTCCGTGACGTTGACGACGCGGACGCGTAGCTCCGGGGCCAGGGTGCGGAGGAGCTCGGCGGCCTTGACGACCTCGAAGGTGACCTCGACACCGACGCCGACGATGACCACGTCCGGGTTGGCGCCGCCGTCGGTGGAGGCTAAGGACCATGTGCTGGCGCCGATGCGGCAGTGCTCTGCGGCTGCGGAGGCGGAAAGGTAGGTTGCGGTGGGCTGCTTGGAGCCGATAACAAGGTTGACCTTGTCTTTGGATTGGAGGCAGTGGTGAACTGTGCTGAGGAAGCAGTTTGCGTCGGGGGGGAGGTACACCTGGCGATGTTAGTGGCGTTCTTTAAAGAGACGGTAGAACGGGGACCTACTCTGGCCGCCTCGGCCTTGAGATTGAGGACCGCGCCGATGAAGGAGGGGTTCTGGTGGGAGAAGCCGTTGTGCTCCTGTCGGGCCCAGGTGCTCGTCTCGATGTAGTTGATGGACGCCAGCTCGCCGCGCCACTTGACCTGCTTGGCCACCTTGTTGAACTTGGCATACTGCACCATCATCGTGTGCACGATACCCAGAAAAGACTCGTAGCTAGGAAAGAGACCGACACGGCCGGTGAGTGTGTATCCTTGCATGAATCCCTGGCAGCAGTGCTCCGAGAGGATCTCAATGACACGGCCACCCTGGGCCCGGGAGTACTCGTCCCATTGGAAGTTACGGCCGGTGTGGTCGAGGATGGCATCAAGCTTGTTGCTCTCGAGCTCGTCAGGCGAGAACATGCGGAAGCCTTTGGGGTTGGCCTGCATCACCTCGTCGAGAAGCTTTCCTGTCACCTTCATGCAACTGGTCTGTTCACCAGGCTCGACTGCCAAGGGTTGCCAGTCAGGGACTTCGAGGCCAATGTACGGGTCGTATGTGGCCTTCAGCTGCCCGAGCTTCTTGCTGTCATTTTTTGGAATGGCTTCGAGAATACTGGCGTTGGGCTTGCCGTCGGTGAGGAGATTGCCTATGTCGTAGCGCGAGAGCCATTCATCGAGCTTCTCGAGGTGAGTCTTGTCTGAACCTGCCTTGGCCAGTGGGACCTGGTGAGACTTGAAGGAGCCCTCGATAATGACCCCGTCAACTTCCTTCGGTCCAGACCAACCCTGAATGGGTTAGTTATCAGTTTCCTCGCAGGTTGAGTAACTTACCTTGGGAGTGCGCAGCGCGATCATGGGCCACCGGGGCTTGACGATGGGTTGACCTGAACGTGCGGCCTTTTGGATCTTCTTGATCTCAGCGACAGCCCACTCCAAGGCGCCGGAGAGATCCGTGTCAATGTCTTCAAGATCGTCGACGATGCAGACTTGATAGCCGTAGCCGGTGAACAAGGCGACGATTTCCTTGTCGTCCATGCAGCCAAAGATGGTCCGCTCACTGATCTTGAAGCCATTGATATGAAGGATGGGAATGACGGCACCAGACTCCTTGGGGTCGAGATACTTGATGGCATGCCAAGCACTATTGTCGGTTAGAAGGGCTCCAAACAAGATATCGTACAACTCACGTCGCGGTAGGACCGCTTTCGGCTTCACCATCTCCCACAATACAGGTGACGATAAGATCCGGGTTATCAAACACCGCACCAAAGGAGACAGCTAAGGCGTAGCCAAGCTCGCCGCCCTCGTGGATGGCACCTGGTGTTTCGGAGTTGATGTGGCTGGTTGTGTTAGTGTGTGGAATTGACTATCATGGGACTCAAACCTTACCTGGGGAAGCCACCAGGCACCGAGAACTTGGTGATGAGGTTGTGTAGACCCTCCTTGGTGAGGCTGTACTTGTCCGGGTAGAATCTCCCCAGTGAACCCTCCAACCAGAGGGAGGCCAGAGCCGCAGGAGCACCGTGGCCCGGGCCAATGACATAGATCATGTCCATGTCATGGTTGCGGATGAGAAGGTTGAGGTGGGACCACACCAGAATGAGACCGGGACAAGTGCCCCAGTGACCTGTGCCGTCAGCTATCGCTCGGCCGACTCCACGGTGGACTTACCCAGCAGTCGGGGTTTGATATGCTCAGGCTTCAGTTGAGACTCCAGGAGCACGTTGTCTCGGAGAAAGATCATCGCTGTTCGCTGTCAGCCGGGGTTCGGGAAGATGGCTAGATCTGCAGGGGCAGGGTGGGATCGGCTTACCAGCAGCGATGTAACAGGCTGCATTTTGGAAGTCGCGCAGAGACTTGGCGACTTTGGCGTCCAAAGGCTTCTTTTCGGTCTTTACGGCGAGCTCAAGCACACTGTCAGGGAGGTGAGAGGGCAGAGCAGGCGGATTGGGTTCCTTGATGACTTCGCCGGGCATGTTGGCGATGAGATGCCGCTGCGAGCGGACGGTCAGACTCTGGATATGTCTAGCCGCAAGGAGATTCCCTGCTTATTCGCTCGTGGACTGCGTCTGCGTCTGATGTTCGTTCGAATCAGTGCAGGGTGTCAATGTCGTTGGCGGTGGAGTGAAGTGCCGGGATGGAGGAGCAGCAGGATGCAACGTTGATGGGGGGAATGTGTTGTGGATGCCAAGTGAAGAAGAATTCTGGAATCCAACCTGGCGATGAAGATGACACTCCCGGTTACAGATTGGGAATTGAAAGGCCTTGAATGGAGCTTTGCTGTGCCGATTGAAGCGAATAGTGGGAATCAGGTTAGGAAGATGAGCGAGTCGATGACGTCGATGCTCACCTAAACTGAAGCTGCACAACGCCAAAGTGGGAACTGCGGGAAGGTGGGGATACTGGGGAGGTGCGGCTGCTTTCAAATTGCGATTGATTTGTTCGGCTTGATGATTTAATATAGAATTCTAGAGAGCTGAAAGGCGCAGGTTGCTTGAAATTTAGAGCACCCAGAGCAATTGTCAAAATTGCGTCGAATTTGGTCATTCCCATGTCAAGCTGCCAGATGGACAGACCTTGCTGCAATGTTCCATAGCTGGTGATGATCTGCTGCGACGGCATTGCCGGGCGAATGCCGCACGTTGGAGCCACTGGAGGTAGTGTCCCGAGGAGATGGACCGTCCAGAGCCAGAACGAGCGGCCCGAAGGCGTGGCATCGTGATGATTACCGGCCCATGATCTCACTCTTTCATGGGTGCTGAATTAACCGTCGAATGGGGCTCAAGCAATTCGTAAAAATGCAGCAGCGGGGAGCGGAAGCTTGGGCCACGTGCTGCGGGGCAGCTCATCGAGGGGGCAATCAATCGCCAATCAATCGTGACAGATCGGTACGTTCCTTTTCTTCCGTCATTCCCGTTCCGTCAGAGACCCGCTGTATTCCCGTGACAGGGATACATGCATTGGCCAGCTCCTGAGAGCAGAGCCTCTTGCTGCTCCACCAGATCCACTGTCCGGACCTGAGCTCCGCTCGCAGGGCGGAAAACGGTGGCCAAAACGGTGCAGCGGAGCTTTTTCTACGCCTGAGCCACACGCATCCACCTTCCGCGAAGCTCTGACATCAACATGGCGAAATCAAGATGAAGCTGCCCTTTTTTGATCTCAACCGCCCCAGTGCCTCCCAATTTTGCTTTTCTGTGCTTCCCCGGTCCAAATGCCGTGGCACATGGGTCGAAGTCCCGCCAATGGAGCAGGCACGGCCCCTCCAAATTGGGGAGCTGTCGCTGCCCTTGCCTCACCGTGAGCACACAGTTGACGTCAGGCTTGTTGAAACGCTCGAGCTGCAAGTACGCAGACATGGGTGAGCTGAACGGCCCAATGGCAGGACTTATTTTGTAAAGCACTGTGGTCGTTGTGGTACTACTTGAACCCGTCTTCTTCTTCTCCTAGGATTCTCTCGTCTCTCTCATTCTACTCTGGTTTTTCCTAGTGCACCAGAAATGGCATCAATTGTATCAGATACCCTCAAGAAGGCCGAGAACGCAATCATGGGCGACGCAAAGCAGGCTCAACTCACTGAAAACACGGTCGAGCATGGCCCCAAGGCACAGATGACCACCGACTTTGGCGCTAAGGTCAACAACACCGACGACTGGTTGAGAGTCACCAACAACGACAAGACCGGTCCTATGCTCCTCGAAGACCCCATTGCTAGGGAAAAGGTCAGAAACGATGTCCAAAGCAGGTTGAACATAGCTAACAAGCGTCCAGATCCACCGCTTCGACCACGAGAGAATCCCTGAGCGAGTCGTCCACGCCAGAGGTGCTGGCGCCTTTGGTACCTTCCGCCTCTTTGAGAGCGCTGGCGATGTGACGAATGCAGGCGTCCTTACCGATACCTCACGGGAGACTCCTGTTTTCCTCCGATTTTCCACCGTCCTCGGTAGCCGTGGCAGCGCCGACACCGTCCGAGACGTGCGAGGCTTCGCTATCAAGTTCTACACCAAGGAGGGTAACTGGGACATGGTCGGCAACAACATCCCCGTCTTCTTCATCCAAGATGCGATGAAGTTCCCGGACGTCATTCACGCGGGCAAGCCCGAGCCACAGCTCGAGTTTCCCCAGGCCCAGTCTGCCCACGACAACTTCTGGGACTTCCAGTTCCTACACACCGAGGCTACACACATGTTCATGTGGGCCATGTCTGACCGAACCATTCCCCGGTCATTCCGCATGATGCAGGGCTTCGGTGTCAACACCTACACCCTCACCAACGACAAGGGCGAGCGTCACTTTGTGAAGTTCCACTTTACACCCGAACTTGGCGTGCACTCGCTCGTTTGGGACGAGGCTCTCAAGCTGGCTGGACAGGACCCCGATTTCCACCGCAAGGATCTGGCTGAAGCCATTGAGAATGGCGCGTTCCCCAAGTGGAAGTTTGGTATCCAAGTTCTGCCCGAGTCCAAGGAGCACGACTTCGACTTTGACATTCTCGACGCCACGAAGGTCTGGCCCGAGGAGCTCGTTCCCATCCGCTACATTGGAGAATTGGAGCTAAACCGCAACCCCGACGAGTACTTCACCCAGACCGAGCAGGTCGCTTTCTGCACCAGCCACGTCGTCCCTGGCATCGGCTTCTCCGACGACCCTCTCCTCCAGGGCCGCAACTTTTCTTACTTTGATACCCAAATTTCTCGCCTCGGCATCAACTGGGAGGAACTTCCCATCAATAAGCCCGTGTGCCCCGTCATGAACATGAACCGCGACGGTGCCATGCGCCACACCATCTCCAAGGGCCCCAACTACTGGCCCAACCGCTTCGAGGCCACGCCTCCCGCAAACCACTCCAAGGCCGCCAACGCCTACGTCGAGTTTGCCCAGAAAGTAGAAGGTATGAAGCAGAGGACGAAGAGTGCCAAGTTCAAGGAGCACTTCTCGCAAGCTCAGCTGTTCTTCAACAGTCTGTCGCCGATTGAGAAGTCGCACGTCATCAACGCTTTCGCGTTCGAGCTGGACCACTGCGAAGACCCCATCGTCTACGAGCGCATGTCCCAGCGCCTTGCCGACATCGACCTTGGTCTGGCGCAAGCTGTAGCCGACATGGTTGGTGGTAAGGCCCCCGAGCAGGCCGGCAAGCAGAACCACGGGAAGAAGGCCAAGGGTCTCAGCCAGCTGGAATATTTGCCCGAGAACCCCACCATCAAGACACGCCGTGTCGCCATCATCATTGCCGATGGCTACGATCCGCTTGCCTTCTCAACCATGAAGTCTGCGGTAGCCGCCGCGCAGGGTGTCCCCATGGTCATCGGCACTCGCCGCTCCGAGATCTACCCTGCCGGTGCCTCGAAGACGCCTGGCCAGGGTGTGAAGCCCGACCACCATCTTGAAGGTTTCAGATCTACCATGGTCGACGCTCTTTTCGTCCCTGGCGGAGAAGACTCGATCAAGACTCTGTACAAGAACGGCCGCGCACAGCACTGGATCCGCGAGGCCTTTGGCCACCTCAAGGCCATTGCTGCCACCGGTGAGGCTGTTGACTTTGTTAACGTTACCATCAATGTTCCCAGCATTGCTGTTTCGAGCGACAGCAACGTTGAGGAAAGCTACGGTGTCGTTACCATGAAGAACATCCAACCGGAGAGCTTCAAGGATGTGTTCACCATTGCCAAGAACAGCCAGGGATTCCTTGAGCAGTTCTTCTTTGTCATCTCTCAGCATCGTGTATGGGCTCGCGAGTTGGATGAGTTGAGCACCCAGGTGGCATATTAATGGAAGAAGGAATGAGATCAGGCGTTTACTGGGGCAGGGTTTAGCGTATGTACTCCATATTTAATTGGCCTTGACATGAAATTTGCGTTCTCGTAGCCATTTGTGAGTTCTACAGCAGGTGTATCAGCATAAGCACTGACACGTAATGTCCATGAGGTAGCTCTTCTGAGACTTTGCGACCCAGTCCATCCTCCTTTCTTTATGTAAACAATAGGATTACACGTCTTGTAACGTCTACGCCCTAGTGTAAGTAACCTCACCGGATCGTACTCACCCATAAAATTACCTTTTTTCTCATCGCCACTTAATCCTCCCTCTTGGACCTCGAAGACAGGAAAAACCAACACCCAACCATAGCCGCGAACAGCGCCAGCGCAATCGGATGCAACACCCACGTCCCGCTCGCCTGCGCAATCATACCCGTCGTAAACGGCGCCAGCGCGCCACCACTACTCCCAAACGCCGTGATAATCGCAATCCCGCTCGTCCGACTCCTGCTCGGCATGCCCCTCAAAAACACCGTCGCCGCGCAGGGATAGATCGGGCCCAGCAGCAATCCCACGATGGCAAGACTCACAGCATTACCCACAATATTCGGCACGAACCACACGAGCAGCTGGAAGCACGCCGCGCCAAGCGTCATGACGTAGACGAAGCGCTTCTCGCCGACCTTCTGGCCGAGGCCCGAGAGGAGGAAGCGGCCGACGGTGATGCCGGCCCAGAAGCCCGCCGTGACGTAGCCGACGGCCTGCGGGTTCGCGACGTCGCGCACGTCGACGAGGAAGGAGATGACCCAGCCTGAGATGGAGACCTCGGCGCCCTGGTAGGCGAAGACGAAGAGGGCGCCGAGGAAGACGAGGCGTGCGCGGAGGGCGTGGAACATGCTTGCCAACCGCGCCTTGACGCTCTGCTGCTGGGCGTCGTGCGGGTGCTGCTGCTCGCCCTCCGGGTTGTCGGTCTCGTAGCTGGCGAAGGACCACGCGGAGAAGAGCAGGCTGAAGGCCGCGAGGGACATGGGGATGAGGTAGAAGCGGAACCAGAGGTGCCAGCCGATGGAGGAGACCATGGCGGTGGCGAGGACGGGGCCGACGGTGCCGCCGAGGCCGTAGGCGCCGTGGAGGGCGCCGAGGGCGGTGGTGCCGTTGCGGAGGGAGCCGCAGAAGAGGGTGTTGAGGGTGAGGTTGGTGGCCATGCCGAAGCCGAGGAGGAAGAAGGAGAGGACGATGACGGGGAAGGGGGCGCCGGTGACGAGGGGGATGTAGGCGGCGAGGAGGCAGGTCTGGGCGGCGATCATGAGGTGGGCGCGGGAGAGGCGGGCGCGCAGGGCGTCGACGAAGAAGGCGGCGGTGATGAAGCCGAGGGCGTTGCCGACGAAGATGAGGGAGACGACGGCGTAGCCTATGTTGTAGTATCTAAGGGAGGGCGTGAAGGTGAGTCGCGGTTGCGAGGGGAGGAGTGGTGGTCACGGTGGTGAGATGCAGAGGAATGGGGGATGGGATGGGACGTACTTCTCCATGTAGGGGATGAGAGCACCCGGCGCGCCGTCGTTGATGCCGTTGCCCATGTTCATGAGGCATGCTGCGAGGAAGCGCCAGCGGTTCATGTACGGGACAGCACGCTCTGCGCGGGCTCGGCGGACTCGGCACCGGCCTCGTCGCGGGCGAAAGCTTCGTGCTCCGAGGTGCGGTTGGACTCGAGGGCTGCGGGGTGCGAGGTGGGGGTGTGCTTCGGGAGCTGGTGCATGTGGATTGACTCCGGTCGGCTCCGGTGAGAATCGACGTGGAGGAGAGACGCGCCCCCGCCGCCGGCACCGGCGACCTTGGCCGGGGGCGTGATGTGAGACTGTTCATGGGTGATGAACGCGTCGAAGGTTGAGGTGTTCATCTTGAATGAGCGACGCGATCGCGGTGTTCAGGTCGCCGCGAGAGTATGCGAATCTTAAGCTGGAGTTGTTAGAGTGTCGAGATTGTGAAATTGGCCGGGAAAAAAAAAACATTATGTCGGGCCCCGAGTCCGGAGATGATAAGAGTGGGGCCGTCTAATTTCTGCCGCGGTGAGATCAGATTGCCCATGCCGAATCGGGAAGGTCGGGTCGAGAACGGGGGCTCGGAGCTCGAAGAACGGGCAGTTGGACAGGGCGTATAGCGCGGCGGTGACTCATCAGGATAGAGTTCTGGGTGAATATTTCAACTTATCTATAGAGGCTTGTATTTCTTCCATGGTATTTCGTTCCTCATTACAGCTACTGGGCTCGCAGTCCAAGCAACACCGACGCTAGTACGTGCCCGAGTAGATTGAGTCAGTTGCAATGCCTAAGTAAGCACATCTACAAGAAATTGAGCCCTTCAACAGTCGGCTATGAAAACATCCAACAATACCCCGAAGTCGTAAATGAAGGTCGTTCAGCCATAGGAGTTCGGCATAAGATGAACGAGGCTCTGCTTACATCACACTCTGCCGAGCCCGTCGCGGCACCTAAGCCGCCTTGGTATCCCTCCCCAGTTCTCCAGACTTGGCAATCCAGTCACATTGCTGTCCTCTGCAAGTAAATGATCGACAACACGCATGTAAAGCACATGCATCCGTTTACATCAAATGCCGCTGTGCTTCGGACTTCGCATCCCATTTTAACTCCCGCTCGCATCCCTTGCGTCTCAACATGAATTCATTGGTGGGACTCACATCTTCAATCAGGGGTAATGGAGATGCATGGGTAATCGGGCATGAATTCTGCGCCAACGAGTGCCGGTTCCTGGAGATGCTCATTACTGCAGGGAGAAGGTCAGATGTTGTCCAGGAATTGTTTTGATCAAGATTGAGTATTTCCACGACTTACACATCCATGTGCGAAATGCCCACAGCCTTGGCTGATGGTATCTCAACAATGGACCCGGCTTGATTGTCAGTCATTTGAAGCGTTCCAATCAGGATTTACCGGAACTCCAAGTTACAGGTACTAAACTGGATATTGAATGGTATATATATCTCCTCTTTGAATCGCCGTTGATTCGGATAACGAAGAACCAAGCAAGAGCAGTCATTCACCCATCACTCCCTGTCTGCAAAAATGTTCAAAAACATCGTCGTCGCCGCCATTCTCGGTGCTCTACCCACTACCTTTGCTTGCTTGGGCTATGAGGGAGGGCTTCCTACTCCGACGGAGAACAGACAGATCTCTGAGCCGATCTACGTCAAGTCTGGCGAAGTGTTCGACGGAGGGTGGGCCAAGTATGACCGGAACCCCACCTCTTGCAGAGAGCAAGAGGAAGGCGGTACGAGTTCTGTTCAGTTTCATCCCAATTGCTCCAGCCAGGCTGATGAAGACATAAATAGGCGAGTCCGACACAGCTTTTGTCCTCGAGAAGGGCGCCACCCTGAGAAACGTCATCATCGGCAAGACTGCTGGTGAAGGTGTCTACTGCCTCGGAGGTGGCTGCACCATCGAGTTTGTATGGTTTGAGGATGTGTGCGAGGACGCTATCTCTGTCGTAAGTATCACTCGAATCTGTAGTCGAGGTGGCCAAGGTCATGAGCATGAGCTAACGATACTACAGAAGGAGGACCAGGCCGGGGACGAGACCTGGATCATTGGCGGCGGCGCGTACCACGCCTCTGATAAGATCATTCAGCATAATGGCTGCGGCAAGGTCAACGTTAGTCATGCTTCTTTTCCATACATCCGCGGCGCATCCTAACATCGACATGCTCGCAGATCATCAACTTCTACGCCGAGGACTATGGCAAAGTTTACCGATCTTGCGGAACGGTAAGAAATATCTGACTTCCTTGCCTTAAAGATCATGCTGATTGATCGTCTTCTAGTGCCAGCAGTGTGCCCGTGAGGTCTACGTTGAGGGAGTGACTGCTTACAACGGCGGCGAGGTTGTCGGAATCACCAAGGCCAACGGTGACAAGGCGACGCTGGTGAATGTCTGCACTGATGCAAAGACGCCTTGCCAGAACTACAGCGGTCCTGGGGAGAAGGATGGTGCCTGTTAAGTGTTCAACGTGGTTGACACAAGAACAGTCAATGCGGTAGCGTTGAATGGGGGCTAGGAGATTCGATCTGATATGATTGTATACAATCGATGTGCGATAGCGGCTATGAGGCAGTCGAGCTAGCAAACATGTTCCAAGACGTTATCAAAATTCAACGAGCACAGAACTTAAATGAGCGCCATGATCATTGCGGGAGCACCATGAAAACCAACTATTGAATATGATCAATGTATCCGGACTACTGATTATCATGATCTTGTGTCTCAACCCAATCCATGTCTCCTTCGAATATTTCATAGCAAACTCCACTTTCCATCTCGGTAACAAGCCGAGACTGAGGGCCGCTCCCATCTGTTGTTCCAAACTGTTGATTCCATGCCGAGTCAACAATCATGTTGAGGAATAATTGGTCTTCCATCATCACCTCGTAATCAACCCCTTCCATCGGCAGAGTTTCCCAGGCAGCTTGAAGATCTTGATTTGCAGTTGCAAGCTGCGGATTTAATTCCGGCTGAATGTTGAAGTCTGTGCTTTGAAAGCCCTGCATGGTGTGGACGCCATGAACAGCTTCGATGGGGCTGAAGTCCCATGAAATTTGAACTTCGTTCTCCGCGCGTGCGAGTTGCTGATTCCATGCTGTGTCATCATATATGTGAGAAGCTATGTGATCCTCCACAATCATGATGTTATAGTCGGTGCCAGCAAGCGCTGGCACCGCTTCCGATGACTCCTCAAGTTGTCCAAGGCTTTCGTCCCCAGGTGTGGCTTCGGTTGGTCTAATCCTCCCTTCAGCAGAAGATCCTTCCCCACTACTATCTTGCCCATAATCAGAATCATCATCCAGATGTACCACTTCCTCTGGGATATCTCCATCCTTATCGCTGGACGATGGGCTGTCGGTTTCTTCTGAGTTGGTAGAGCTGTCTATGAGCTCTTCCAAAGACCCCAGCTCTTCTAGACGTTTCTTGTCAAGCTCTATGAGCAACCCCCACATCTCGTGGTCGAACCTGGTCCATTCTCGATGATTCTCTAGGAAGTCTGCCACCACCATATGTGCTCCCTCTTCTGCAAATCTGATAGCCTTTAAATATTGTAAACATCCGTCTCCGGCGACATTAGCTCCACAGTCGAGAAGAAGGTGCACCATGTCTAATCGTCCGTATTCAGCAGCACCCTCCAAGGCCGTTCTACCATTCTTGTCGGCACCTGGAGCATTGATATTGGCACCCAGATCAACCAGACGCCTTGCGATACCAAGACGGCCTTTAATGGCCGCAAGTTGCAGTGCCGTAGCCCCGCCGTGCTGCGCTGCGGGAGCGTTGACATCTGCACCGCATTCAAGCAGGAGGTCGATCATCTCTAGATTTCCATCCTCGACCGCCTTCTGAAAAGGGCTGCGTCCGAATTCGACGAAAAAGTTGGACTCATTGGGACTTAGGCCAGCTTTCAACAGGACTTCCGTAATTTTCCCCTGTCATCTTTCAAGTGACCAGTATAAGGGGCCAGGAATTTCTAAGCCACGGTCATCGTCCCATATTCTAGGAGCTAACCTTTCGAGAAGTTCAACTTCCCCATGGCAGACGGCGATGGAAATCGTGAGCCGGTCAGGGTTGAAATTGTTTTCCAAGAGCTTTTCCAGGGAGTCTTGGGACCAGATAGAGAAAATCAACGGCGAACCACGTAGAAATTCGCTTTGGGACTTAGGCTCTCGATGCCAAAATGGAATTCCCCGCTCAAATGACTCGGAAATCTTTGCTTCTATGTCCTTTTTGTCAGGAAGTCTGTTGTAATACTTCGAAGCCGGAACGAAAGCTGGAGTCGAGCTTTGTATCTTCGGAAGGAGCATGTCCAGTATGTCTATGCGGCTGTGCCAGGCTGCAAGACCCAAGGCTATGCCTTCTTGTTCGTGTCCATGGAAGGCTTCTGGGCGATTGGCGATGAGTTGCTCAAGAGATACTGTTGAGCCAGACGAAATGGCAAGCATAACGCCAGCGCATAGGGCACCAGGGTCGTAGGCGCCGATGCAACTCGCTAAAGCCCGTTCTATCCTTGGAATGGATCTTGTGAGGAAGATAGCAGCCAATACTGATAGACTGCATGTCTTACGTCGGAGAACCTTTTGTGAGGCTAGTAGTGAGACCTCATCAGGATGACTCCAGTGTTCCAGGAGAACTGTGAGCTCAGCCTCGTTACCGGCCGTTTCTGCACCGGCATCGACCAGTGAATTTATGACCTCCAAACAATCATGTTTGTCAAATCTACCAGTTCTCGAAGTTCTCATTGCCAGCTCAGTCTTGGTAAATGATTGCAAAACTCTTTGTAATGGCGTTCTTCCGTCCGGCCCACGCCAGCCCAAGTTACCGCCCTGCTTCACAGCAGAGTGAACAATCCCAGGATGTTGAGGTACGCTAGCGCCGTAGTAGAGAGCCCAAGTGGGCATCTTCGCTCCATATTGAATCAAAGTCTCAAGGGATTGAGGTGTTTGTTCATCCGCCCCGATGATTGCTGCGCCTAGCGGATTTACATGAAGGGAATGCTTGTTGAGCAGAGACCGCTTATCCCCCCCCCAATCCGAGATCCATCATGGCGCGATTCCACATGTAATTTCTCTCGTGATCGAAACCATCACTTGCCTCGAACTCGGCATTTACATCAGCTCCATGTTCACACAGAAGCTCGATAACAGGCTTACGATCCGTTAAAGCTGCGAAGTGAAGTGGCGACGGAATCGCTTGAAGCCATTCTGGACTTTTGATAGGTGCACCACACTGAAGTAGTAACTCGCAGGTGTTCCGATGCCCGTTGAACGATGCAGCACAGAGAGCCGTGAAGAGGCCATGTTGTCGGGTGTTTGAATCGTTCTGGTAGCTGCACCAGTAATTGATGACCTTGTTGAAGCCAAAGTAGCCAGCAAGGCAGACAACGTCGGCAGCTAGGAGATCGCCGACAGAGATCACAGGATGGTACCGCTGAACATGACCAACTAAATAACGAATCTTTCTCATGGCCTTTTTCTCGTTGCTGTCGTACATTGCGAATCCCACCACGCTTTGTGTTCTGATGAACTCGTGCCCGGTAATGTCGATGCGCATATCTTGCTCGAGTCGCTCCTGATACTCGACTTTTGAGCCATGTTGTATGAGTATCTTTGCAATTTGGAGGTCCAAGCGAACGGCCCACATGAGCGCAGACGGCCCTCTGCAATACGGACCCTCGTTGAGTGAGGCACCGGCCTTTAAAAGCCGCAGAACAAGGTCTTTGAAGATATCACGCTGCTCTGGTATCATATTCAAATACAGACCCAGATCATCTCGCAACAACTCAAAAAGCGGCGGGTAATTGTCAGTGCAGTGAAGGTTTGGATTAGCACCGGCGTCGAGGAGCTTCATGGCGAGTTTGAAATCACAAGTCCCCGTCGCAACTTGAAGCGGCCTGCAAGCCTCAGAAGCAATCATCACTTGCCCGTTTGGATCTTGGCCTGATTCAAGAAGCCATGAGAGCACGCTTGAGTTGCTAGCACTACTAGCGCTTGCCTCCTGTGTACGCCTGTAGTCGAGGCAAAGCCTGAACAGATTTTCAGTGATAGACGTAACAGTCAGATCCTTTTCTTGCGCTAAGTCGAGTGGCTGGTTCGTCAGGCCAGAGCGTTCGATAAGGTTTACAACCGCGACCCAGGAAGTTGTGTCGTCACAGTCGATTTCGTACATATCGTTTGAGAGGCAATACAAAACAAGCTGAACGTGCTCATTGAAGGCTTGGTCGGTTGGTCCTTGCAAAATGAGCTGCGCACTGCTGGTGATTTCGTTATCCGCTTTCTCGGGCATCATGGAAGCGACATTAACAGCGAAATCAGAGGCACTCCTAAAAGGCTGTCCATTGAATTGCCGGTGCAAAGGAGAGAGATTCAATCTCGCTCGGCTGCTAGGGTGTTGGAGTTCACTATCGAGTATTTGATGTGTTAAATGCAAAAGCATGCCTCGCGATAGTTAGCTTGATTGCTTTTGTGGTTTGAGCCTTACTCACTAGGCAACACTTTGTTTTGAAATCGTATCCACGGAAGTGTGTAAGCCCACATTGATTGCACAGGCCCGGGAGTTGGCGTGCGGATACAAAGTTCCAAGCCCTCGGGGGTCTTTGGACTCAAAGCTGCGGAGCGCAGATTAGCGGTACATTGCAACGGAAATGACTTGAAATCATAGCACACACCTGTCGTGTACTTGGTCAGCGTATCTAGCTGATAACGACCCCGCTCCTTCTTGAGTGTGTTGCATGAGATCTTATTGCGGTTATAGTATACCACGCTGGCTTTACCTTGTTGCTCTCTCTTCAGAAGCATGTGATCGGTGTATCGCCAGACATTCGCACTCGCGTTTTTCCGAATTTTCCAGAAGCGCAGTTGGGCTTCAAGTTCCGACTTTCTGAAGAGCATTAGCATCCATCCAAAATTGAGATGCCGGGTGGTAGACTCACGTTACGAGAAATCCATCTTCTTTAAGCTTGTCTCTGATCTTCTCCTGAGATAGGCGGTCGACCACATACATCATCTCAATGGCAGTCTTACGTCGTGTCCATTCTGGATCGTCGCAAGGCAATCTCTTGGAGCGAGGCATCTTTCAAAGTCCCGAAAATTGACGAATGAGTGCCCGTGTGCTGACTCTCATTCATCGGCATAGAAGAGAAAGTGGTCGGCAACTTGGCAAGGGAATCGCTTGAGTTAAGTTCTTTCAGATCGCGGATATTGAAAGAAGAGGAGAAACAGCGACGCTCGCTTCAAGGCGGCCATGAATGTGGGAAGTCGAAGAACAAGGCTATGCCTTCAGCTTCCTGACAAAATCGCAATTGGTAATTCCTGGAAGCCTGGCCCACGTGATGCTGCCGACGTCTCCGTGCCCGACGCCAGCTCATCAGTACAGAAAAGGTCTCTGTAGGCTCCCGGGGGCTCACTGCATACATGACCTCGGCGATTGGTCTGATCCAATGTCTGCGAACCACTTTGGGCGTCATCCTGCCTCAAAGAGCGAGGCGAAGCGGTCATTGCAACATGATTGGTTCAAGCCAATCTCTGGAAACAACGATACAAGGGTGTGTGGATCCCGGGTCAACAGGCGCATCACCCCTCATGATTCCAGATGGGTACTGAAGTCAAACACAGGTTCTGATTTGTCCGTCCCAATGTCTGGCAACGACTTTGCAAGGGCATACGCATTTCGAGCGGGGAGCGGTCTGGGCTAGTCGAGGGGCAGTACCTGTTGAGGATCACAGCTGGAATTCTGAATCAACCGCAGGTTATGATTTGCCGGAGCCAATTTCTGCAAACCTGAGGTTTTCTTGCGCAACAGGGGGGTCAAGGCTATGCGGAAAAGGCACATATTTCCTCCATCAAGTCTTTGATCATTGATTACACCCCAAAACGGAGGATATAACCTGCTGGAAATCACCAGTCATTTCAACCATTTTAGCTTCGCACTATTATTCCCATCCAATCTTTCATGGAACATCTTAGATCATTTGGTCGACAATAGATGCCTTCCTGACATCAAAATCCCTTCAACGACGTTGAGGACTCGAGAACACTGCATGCGATTCTCACGAAACGCCCCATTGATAAGGATGGAATTCAACTTGGAAGCCGTCATCGGCCTGGTCGCACTAGTTGTGACGCTCCCACCAACAATCCTAATCTTGTGGAAGTGCTTTCGTCGCAGGCAAAATTGTCGACACACCGGTCAGTTCAGGCCATCAAACTAATTTTCGTCAGAGTTTTGAAATTGACGTTGATGATCAACAGCAAACCGGCAGAACCTTACTTTAGCACCGTTCCAGCCATTGACAAACGAAAGACCCGAGTACAACTCGCTTCCGAGGAGGCTTTCGACGATGAGAGTCTGGACTGTTGTCGACTTTGATACGAACTTTAATTATAGACCATACGAGGCTATTCCTGTATGACCACTTGCAAGAAAGAAGGCTGAGACTATGAGGAATAGTTCTGGTGCTCTGATTAGAGATGATTGTATAGTGTGGAGAATGTCATTTTGAGCCGCCGTGCGTGTCGTCGGCACTGTCCACAAGGCTAAGGTACGGCTGTGCTCCATCACTAGCTGGGAAAATGATGTTTCTCATTTGATCAGACTTTGGTGGAAGGTCTAGAGACTAGAGATGCCAGCATCATTCAAATAATTGGGGGGAATGCCATGCAGACATAAGAGACGTGATTCTTACTAGCGAGCGATCAGCCTTTATGCAGAATTAACTGCCACTGGACTAAACTTAATCGCAAGAAATTCCCGTTGCATCATCAGTATTTGTTTCCGGCCAGAACACTCAAAGTTCGCTGAGCCCTAGGTAGATAAACTTCTATTGTATACGTCCCCAAGTACCAGACTTGAGCGTTGTGACGTCAACGTCACCAGGTGCTTTGTGTCAGTGGCACCTTACTGCCTTTCACTGCAACTACAAGAAGAAAACGGAGCAAAGATTGAATGCCATTCATTGCGAAGATCGGAGTTCGCCGCTTTTAGCGCGCGAAATAGGCTAAAAAGGCCGGAAAACAGTGCACCTGCCGCTATTCCGATAGCGCAATGACAAAATAATTTAGGAGATCATGCCTCTTTAAAACAACATCGACTCATTCATTTAATTGAACTTGGGAGTACGTGGGTTCCATGCTGACTTTAAAGGTCCACTCTTTCCCGGGTCCATACCACCCATCTGCTTCTGCCTGCCAAGTGTTCTAGACCTTCCATCAAGAAAGAAGGACAGAAATGTGAAGAAGAAATTGAGAATAAAATGATTTAGACAGCAGCTTTGCGAATGCAGGTACCTGAACATATCGAGCTGGACGAGACTGCAGTCTCATTGAAGCCCTGCATCTCACCCACAATACGGCGAAAGCGCAGCCAACGGATTGTCAACTTTCATCTTCCACATGTGTGCCCTGAGCGACGGAAACGAGCATTCGGGAGGTCGGCGTCGCGAGACATAGCTCCTCGGTTTCGTTATCGGACTAAGTACCAAACACGCCCTACGAGGCTGAGTTATGAATATACCATCAGCTGAACAGCATTGAAAGGAAGGAATTCCTAAATATATAAAGGTCAAAATCAACGGCATCGCTTCAAGTTAAGTACGCCGAGCTGTAGTGAATAGACCACAGCTTAAACCTACCCGCGGGTGGCGAGTCGCGTGGTCTAGTTGGTTGGGGGCTGTTGAAGCGGAGCCGGAGGCCGATGATGTTTTCCGTCCGCTGAAGGAGCAACATTGCTTCCGCTGAGGTTGTGACAGCTGTGCAGAGTAATTACGAACCGACGCTTTGAAGACAAGCCTGCGCGGGGTGTCGCATTCCCCGGCAGACACTGAACCTCTCCCGCGTTCATCTATACCGCTTGCCCAAAGTGAAAAGACGCGATTCAGCTCTACGGCAAGGCCATGTTTCTGCCAAAAGGCACGATGCTTTTTAGTGGGTCGCTTGGTTGCAATAACGGGAATCAGAGTCATAGTTGCTCCAATATTACTGCCAAAATTAGGACATCAAATATATGCTAAACCACTTGACACAATCTCGCTGATTACCGCTTTTAAGGTTTACAGCGCAGCCGTTCTTGGTAGACAGAGCAGAGCCCTAAATGCCACAGCAGATCCAGTGACAGGCTCCTTCTTCGCTACACCGCAATCAATAACGATCATCGCACTGCCCGATAGCATGCCGTGTATAGGGAAATAAACCTCTTTAACCTTATGCACCTGACTTATTTACGTGCATCGAGCCGAAGCTCCCGATAATATGAGAATAATTAGAATTGCACACAAACCAAGACATGATTAATACTGGGTGAGCAGCTCGCTCTCTTGAGCTCTGATGTTCAACCGCCCATTCCTTCTCGGCACATACATTCTTTTATTCCTTTCTTTGGTGGTTCGGCACGATGCGTAACCACGCCACATTCATTTTACTGTCGCTCCTTTCTTCCAGCGAAGGAATTTTCGCTCGGCCCCACGATCATTCGCCTGTGCATCGACACCACGTTCGCAATGGCTTGATTTTCCCCAGGGCAGACGGTAATGGCACATCTACGAATAACACACAGGTGCCTGTACCTGTGGCACCGCCAGCAACATCACGCAAAGCCAGCTCATCGCTATACTCGGCCAGCCACACCCCGTCGGCGTCCGGAAGCCACACTTCATCGGCCCCACTCTCGAGCCGGCCCCCGGCGTCGCAGACGGCATCCTCGGCGCCTCCCGCAAGCACTACACCCGCCGCGCAGAAGACCGTGTCAAATGGAGAAGTCGCAACCGGCTTGGCGATCGGCACGGTCGTCGCCGCCGGAGTCGGAGGAGGTTATCTGTTGCTCGCCGGCCAATACTTCAGCATGGCCGCGGGAAGTGTTGCGACGGTCACCGGCGCATCCGGTATCGCCTCCGGACTGAGTTCGCTTTCGGGCCCGGAACCGCAGCAGGTCGACAAGCCCGAGGACCCGCCCGAGGACAACGGCGACCAGAACCAACCCACTCCGTCTGTTCAAAGGACCGACCAGCCGTTCAGCACCTCGCTGCCGCTGGAGTTGCCCACCGACACATCATCAATCCCGTTTTCCTCTACCTTTACCTCGTCGCAAGCATCAGCGACCTCCAGCGGAATGCCCAAGTATATCATCGTGCCGGATAGCAAAGGGAAGGCTACCGATTTTGACTCAGTAGAGTCCAGTTTGACTAACTCGGCCGGTTCGAACCTGGTAACTGTCGAGGACGACGAAGACAAGAGCACTCTGTTCCTGACCGCTCCGCTATCAGCTCAAGAAGCGAAGGACTTGGAAACGAAGCCAGGGGTATTTCATATTCTGCCCGGTTGCACCGCCAACATGCTAACGCGAGATAATAGGTCGGAGCCGTTACCGAAGATATCGACCTTGGGGATATGAACAAGATGGTGGCAGAAGAGCCCTACAACCCAGCCGACGCCGCGGGCCCATCTGTGCTACCCCCGGCTCTGACGAAAGACCCCCTGGCTTTGGCCAAGCAGCCGCAGAAGATTGTGAGGCAGTCGGGATACGATGTCGAGACGGAGAATCCAGCGAAACCCTCGCACGAAGACGCAGGAGAACTTGCCACCATTTCCCAGGAACCTGGCACGGGAAGAGCATCCACTTTTGCATATGACGAGGTGGCTGGACAAGGCGTTACCGTCTACATCCTCGGCACGGGCATGAACCTGAATTCGCCGGTAAGCTCTCAACCCCATCTATGTTATCTTCATCGGCGTTAACTGGTGGGCCCACAGGATATCCAAGACGCTGTTGGCACCAAGGACTTCATCTTCGCCCCCGGTTCGGCTGAAACGAAGACAGACGACGATCCCCTCATTGGATATCCCGATGGCACTTGCATGGCGTCCAAGATCTTTGGTCCCAAGTACGGTGTTGCGAAGAAGGCCAACGTCGTTATGGTCAAGTTGTCCGGAGGGAGCGGTGCGATGGGTATGATCACCATGACGGAGATGCTCACTGCGCTGGCCATGGTCAAGAACGACATCACCACGAAAAAGCTCAAGGGCAAGGCTGTGGTGAACCTCTCGTATACCAGTAAGTGAACCCGAGTCGAATCGTGACGT